GGCTATCAAGAACCATTCCAGCCAATTCCTTTTCATAGTGAACAACTCTGGAAATATTTCTATTCAGTAAGGAGTTATGACAAAGGTATTTACATGTTCTCCTTGGGAAAAACATCAACATCTGCAAATCCGCTTTTATTGAAAGGTCAACTTTCATCCCAGTTCTGAAACAGGCACTAAATGCAAAGAGTCTCTGTTAAGTGCAAGTGACCTTTAATATCTAAGCTCACAAAAAGGATCTAAGAATGAAACAGAAACTAAGTAAGCCCTCTATTTGTTGTGACAGCTCATTTCAGGTTTGCACAATCTTTTGATTGTGTCCAGACTTCAATATGCTCCAATAAAAGGTACAAGTGATAGAATAACAACAACAACAACAACAACAACAACAACAACAAATTCTATCCTGCACTATCTCCTGTCCTCAAGGCGGTTTCCAACACAACAGGCAAACATTCAATGCCTATATAAAATGAAAACCATAAAATTAAACAAATAACAATATTAAACATTATACACTAAATTAAATAAGCAATTATATTAAATAATAGCCATTAAAAGCCAGCTGAGGTAGAATGTCATATCAGTTCCATTTCCATTCCGATTAATCCGTGCTCTGGGATTTATCCTTCCTCCCCATTATATGCTTGGGAGTATTTTAAAGTTTTAAGTTGTTTCTTCAAGGAGAGAAAAGAGGGGGCAATTTTGATCTCCTTGGGGAGGGAATTCCATGGGCAGGGGGCAGCCACTGAGAAGGCCTCCCTTCTCATTTCCACCAGCCATGCTTGGGACGGGGGTGGGACTGAGAGCAGGGCTTCCTCAGCTGATTGAAGGGCCCAGTCAGGCTTGTACGAAGAGATGCGGTTTGTTAGACAGTCTGGGCTCGAACCATTTAGGGCTTCAGGTAATAAAATGCCAGCTATCGTTTACCAGTACTGTAACATTTATTTCCTCTCTACAGTAGACAGTTAGGACATGAAGTCACACAAACACTCTGATATGCACAATAAAATAAAAGAACATGGACTGCAACATAGAATTGATTACACAGATTCAGTGATTAAGACATCAAATCAAACAGATATATTTCTTAGGAAGGAACTGCCAAAACCACCTCTGAGTACTCCTTGCCTGGCAAACCCTATGAAAATCATGGGATCATTATAAGTTAGGCACACACACCCCTCCTCACACATAATAGTAGTCTAAGTTACCAAATATTACAATTTTCCAACATTTCTGTTATTGAGAAGCCTTTTTGTCCCAGCAAATGCACATCCTAGATTCCCCCCCAAATAGTTGCAGTGATACAAACCTAAACATCCATACAGAGTTCTCTTGATGAAAGCCAAAATATCACCCAAGGCTAAAATAACAACAGCAACAACAATAAATGCCCATGCCTATGACTGATTCATGTCACTGGGGTGCTTTTCAAGTTCTTGGTAATCTAATATGATGATTTAAAAAATCCATCTGGTTTCCAAACAAAACAGAAGTAGAAAGTAATGGACTTCTGACATCATTCTTTGATTTTTGGAATATTTTATTATTTCATGTTGTATTATGACAGCCTTAGACATAAAAATATCTCAAAAACTCATCTTTTTAAGCTTTTAAAATGGGTCTGGGTGAAGATTTATTATAGAACGAATTGATTACTTGACTAATTAGGTGTCTGGAACTCATGTTTAATCCATAGAGGAAGTCACAAATCACCTGACAACAACTCTAAAAGAATACCGTTAAATCTTTGTGTCTTCAGAAAATAACCAGGTAGGCTGTCTTGCCAATCCAAACAACTGTCGAGATTTTCTAGCTTCTTGCCTTAGAAAAGTCCTGGCCCTGTCTGGTGAAAGATTGATATTGTAGCTCAATACAACCTTACTTAGTATTATTTAGAGGGAACATAAATTGCTTATATTTTGCTATGCCAGTATCACTCTTCCTTTTCTTTCTCAGGCTACATGTCCTCCCTTTTCCTCTCCCAACCTGACATACAAGTCCATTGTCAATGCTGCTGCTGTCTCCTCACTAAAAACCTCTGAAACATTCTGTCAAGAAACCTTTCTATTATCAAAGAGCTTGAAAGTCTCTAGTGGTTTTCCAGGTACCAGAATTAGCATATGCAGAAATCCCAAATGACAGATACTTACCTCTAGAAGAACATGATTTGATTAATTATACTAATAATGGCAGTACAATCTGATTTACTTCACAGTCATGAAGCAAGTAACCTTGGTAAAACAGGATTTGAGAGCAAGGGTACATTAATTGCCCAAACCATCCCATTTGATTTCTCTCTCTCATTAATTGAGGGTCAGAAATCATAATCTATTAACAATTCATTTCAAGAGTTTGATGAAACTAGTTAGAAATAACCAAAAATTAAAAAAGAGAGATGTTTGCAATTGGCTTCTTTCTAGAAATAAGGTAGAGGAAAGCTAAATCCCAACTATAACTTAATATGGGAAAACCTTACTCCTTTCAAAGTGTAGTAGTAATTATTTTAATTACTTTTCTTATTCTGGGAATATGAAGGAGGTAGAAAATTACAGTAGAAGCTATAACACTTCTAAACTATTTAAAATCCCCCCTCTGCTGCCCACCTCAATGGACTACTTAGTAGGCTTGTGCATTTCAACTGAACCTTGAGCTGTTTCTGCTATCTGGATTCCGGAAGGGGGGTCCGGTTCTGTTAAGGTCTGGAGCTAGAAAATGCCCATTGGTGGCAATGGGGAGGGGCTTCATGGGCTCCCCTTCCCATCATTTTCAGGGCTTTCAGGATGAACATGGCCATGTTTAGAGGACACATCTATCACTGTTGGCCCACTAAGTGTCATAATGTTTGGGTTATCCACGGATTATTAGGATTTTTTTTTCTAGAAATAAAACCTCCAGAAAGGTATCCCCACCTTTCTAGAAAGGTATCCCCACCTTTCTAGAAATAAAACCTCCAGAAAGGTATCCCCACCAGGGGGAGCGGGAGCAGGAGCAGGACACCATTCCTTCTTGCCAAATATCAAAGATGCACTTCTATATCACAGAGTCCACCCATTATTACACTTTCTTTACTATGAAAAAACAACAACAACTTCTTACAAACTTTTTGCAATTTATATTCCTTGTTCTCACAACATATTGGAAGAGGCTAGCAGCCCACCATCCGCAAGCAAGCAAGCAAGCAAGCAAGCAAACACTCCTGTATAATGCACTGGGAAAAAACATTTTAAAAATGTATTGCGTGGTTGGTCCCAAGTGCAAGTTTACATTCATCCGTTCCTCTGGTTGATGAAGAAAGAAAAGGAGTTAGGGAATGAGACGGAGAGAAGGAGATGGCAAAAACAGAGACGAAAGGAATGGCCTGATCCAAATTTGATTCTGGACTTATAATTTATCAGGCTTCCTTCCACCCACCATCAAGATACTTCCCTTAAAAGACTACTTAAAATCAAGGACTTGGAAGGCATCACAAAAGCCATCCTGTCCAACCCCTTGTCATGCAGACATACACAATCAAAGCACTCCTGACAGATGGCCATCCAGCCTTGGTTTAAAAACCTCCAGAGGGGAGACCACCACACTTTGAGGCAGTGTATTCCTTTGTTGAACAGCTTTTTTTGGTCACCTCTTTTGAGTCCTTTGTCATCCAATTTCTTCACAAAAACAGTTGTATGAGAGAAGTGCAAGCATTGTATATTTAATGGACTTGTAGCTCATTTATTACTGAGGCTGATAAGCTGCTGTGACACATTCTGCAAAAAAACACCCCTCCACAGGCTAAGCCAAACCACATGCAATCCTGTATGTAATGTTTTTAAAATGACTGTTGCTGCTGCTGCTATTGTTGTTGTTGTTTTCACCCTGCTTTTCTCCCTTGATCAGGATTCAAAGCAGTTAATGGTAACATTAGAGGAAATTTTCAGTATAAGTGCAATTTCATTTTTAAGGGAAAAGGGATGGAAGGGGGCAGAATAATACTCCCCCCTCCAGCTGCTATTAGTATTGAAAGGTAAAATCAACCATGTTTCCATCTGAAATCTAATAAAATCGCCCAAGAGATTTTATTTGGGGCGAAAAACATTAAAACTTTCCTCATGCACCATAAAGAACTACCTCTCTTCACATCTGATTTTCACTTCTTTTAAAAGATGCATCTATAAGTGACAATTTTAGTGCATTGTCTAGTTTGCCACATGTATTATGGTTTCCTAAGTGCATCAAATTCCAGATCATTAGTCAATCACAACAAATGTATCACCCAATCAGCAGTATAATGGTTGTGTTTGTAATATGCTTAATGAAATGTTATTGATGACAAGATTTCTTAAAATAAAATAGTATATCAGCAGAGCTTTGTGATGAAGAATAGCAACATCCTCTCCAGTGTCTTTGAAAGTGGTGGTAAGGAAAGGAATCACGAGAAAACTCTTATTCAAAACATTCAGTGAAGCAAAAGGTTCAGTGGTTATTGTAACCACTATTTATATAAGTTTACTCTCCCAGAAGGTGGAATGTATTTGGAAGAAAGAAGCAATCTAGTTTTTCGAATGTTTGATAACACAATGTAACATGATTTTTGTTCCTGGGTTATAAATGTCCTTTCCTGATTGAATCTATCATAAAAACATGAAAAAAATATTAAATTGTAAAAAAAACTTCATTTTTGTGGCATCCTGCAGCACATTTTGCTATAGGTTTTCAATGAATATCTCATCAAGTCTCAACCAATTCCACATAGTTTGTGGCCGCCATAAAAATGAAGTTTCTGGAATATAATAACTACTTTCAAAGTAAGTACTTCACAATTAAACAGGAATAACAATTTCAAACCAGGAAAAGAACATTTTTAAATTTTGTTATATAGTGTAATAGAAGTTCTAGTGTACTTTACTTTTTCTGTTGATTTGATATTTATGCACACACATACTATACCCACAAATATAAAAACTTAAACATCTAATGTCCATGTCAAAATGAATGGGTAGAAAGCCACTTACCCCCAGTTGCCACAGTAATTTCACGTAGGAAATGGCCGTAAAATGGGAAATCAAAGGATAGATTCACTCTCTGTAAAGAACAATACGAGAAAAGAAAATCAATAAGGTAAGGGATAGTAAAACTGCACTTCAATATGTGATCCAGCCAATCACTGTTGCTTTTGTCATATAAGATACCGCAGCAGCCCTGTCCCTTTCAGTCTGGAATCATTTCTCAGTATTAATGCTGAAAACAGTTATGAATAACAGATTGGGCTCTGCAATATATAAAGGAAGAATATTTAGGATAACAAGTGAAGGCTGAAGCAGAAATCCTAAACATATCTGAAGTCATCCCAGTCAATGAAGGATTTTCAAGTCAAAAAGCAAAGAACTGAACCTTTGTCCTGAAATATGATGTATGGTTTGCATGGAATTGTATAAAAGATATATGGTTGGGGTCTTTATAGTCTAGAGATACCACCCTAAGATGAGGTCTGGAAAACTGCAGGAAGGAATTCATAGACTATAATTACATCGATGACCTTTGACAATGATTAACTATTGAATTTTTGGGTGAAAAACAACGTATTTACATTATCAGAGACAATGGCTCTTTAAGTTAAGAAAATGTTTACAAGGTTTCTTATGTTAAGAAGGATGTCAATACAAAGCTCCTTATGTTTACCAACACCAATTAAGCAGAATCAACCTCTGCCAGGAACTGAGATGAAGCCAGACTGGAAAAACATCTATCAATCATTTGCAACTTTGGAACAACATCAGCAAAAATCATTGCTATATAAGAGACTTTCTAATATTCCAAAATTGTGGCAGACCGGTGGAGTCTGGCCCACCTGCCACTCCATGAAGAATAGAGATGGTGTACCTCTGGGAGTGGCAGATATGCAATGCAACACAGTCTAGTCACTTGCTCCCTTTTTCAAGGGAAGAGAAAGGAGTGAGATTTTGGAGTAGGGAAAACAGAGATCTGAACCTTGGGATTGTTCTTAGGTAAAGAGGATGCATTCTGGCATTTTTTGAAGTTTTGGAACTGTGCATTGGCAGACTGCAGGGAAAGCGGTGTCTGGCCTAAGCAGATGCTTCTCCAAGGAGGGAGAAAGGATATGGCAATATTTGGACGAATGAGGATGAATAAATGTGCATATGTAATGGAAATGCTGAGTAAAAATGTTATTCCCCTTTGTTTGTTAGCCAAGGTAACTTCAGATAGTTTGTGAATTCAATATAGTTACATAGAATCTGCATGTCTGTTTGTCCAATGTCATTCTTTGTGAAAAAGTGTAAAAGTTCTGATACCCTTTCTCTGGAAAATTGCAATACAAAGAACCTATGCTTTAAAGTTATTGAAAAGTTATTCATAACACTGTAGATACTTGCAACCCACATAGCAGCCTGCTCCACCCAAATGCCCTCCCAACTGCCATCAGTTTCAACCAGGGGGAGAACTAATATGCCCTGTAGGCATCAATATCCTGATAGTTTCTGATCTCTGGGAAATGGTGTGAGAGTTCTTCTCCCTTAAGCAGCTGCTTGGAAGAAATAAAAATCTGCTACTAAAGTTCCTGCTGAAGAATCCTTATTGCCTAAAAATTCTAAACACGAACACACAGTTGCTTTCAGGCTTAGAAAATAATGCAATCTAGAGGTGAACTCAGTTCCTACATCCTCTCTCCCTCTCTCCAAACTTCATCCACCCTCTACTTACTTTATTCCTGATTCTATATTTAGGTCATACTGTTTACACATCCAGTCAACCTGCAGTTTTTGTCTACACCTTTTGTCTACACCTACACATTCCATGGCTTGGAATGAATTTTGATATCTGAATGGATTTAAGCCTACTGTAAAGTCATTTGAATGGATTTATGACTGTTTTCCTTTCATAAAGCAGCACTGCGCTCCAAGGTTGCTGTATAAGTTAAAATTGTGTATGGTTTATTCTTATGTTTTTGTATAGTATGTAAATATATTTTTGTGCTGTCGCATGCTGGGCCTGTGCATATGACTGTAGACAGGACATAAATTCTGTGTGCCCAACGGGACGCCGGGGCTGCCTCAGATTAAAGGCCCTTGGACCTCTTCAAAACAAAGTTCTGTAGAGGCTTAAAGTAAGTCCAACAAAGTTCGTTATCAATGAAAAACAAACAGGTACTTTAAAGCTTTCTTAACAGTCTATAGGCTCTTGCAATCTTGTTCGCTGGGAACAGGCACTGTCTTCATAACTATATAATAACTACTGGGGAAATCCTTAACTTCCAATCTGGGCAGTCTGTATTTGCCTCTGTTGGCGTGGAGCCCCTGCACCCGGTACCAACTGCATCTGGCTTCCGCAAGCGACCCTTACCAAGCGGAGCTTTGTAGACTTCCAGGGGAAAAGGAGTTCAGGTTTCGGTGATGGCTGGCTGAAGTCCCTCAGCAAAGGAGTTGTAAGGCTGCATGATCCTCGGCCAAGCTGTGGGGCTGTATCTCCCCGGCCAAGCTGTAGGCTGTATATCTCCCCGGCCAAGCCGTAGAAGACGAAGCTTTCTACAGGAGCTCTTCATTTTATGTCCTGTGTGAAAGGCTTCTCTGTGAGAACTGACTCAAAAAGGCTCCTATTCCCTCCAAAACTCAAAAAGGGTCGGGACCAGGGAACCTAACAATAATTGACAGATGGCTTTCCCTATGATTGCAGCCAAAAGAAGCCACCTATCTGCAGAGTCCCTGAAACTTAGGACTATAACAAACATTAAATGCAAAGCAAGCAAAATTGGAGCTCCTGGTACAGTTGTATCTGCACAATTTTGTATTTGTCAATATTACATATGTGTTATGTTTTTAATTCATGTGTTTGTTAGAGCTGCGTATGTGTTTTTCCTTTTTCTTTTGGTTTCCTTCTTTGGGGCTTCTATATGAACAATAGCAGAAGGAAGGGAGAGAGGTAGGTAGGTATTTTTATGGCAGTAGACTAGTGGCCCTCGATCTGTGGGTCCCCAGTTGTTTTGGCCTACAACTCCCATAAATCCTAGCCAGTTTACCAGCAATTAGGATTTCAGGGAGTTGAAGGCCAAAACATCTGGGGACCCACAGGTTGAGAACTACTGCAGTAGATCATATGGTAGGAACCTTAAAAAATAGCTGGATGAACACTCAATGAAACAGGACTGAGGATGGTGGAAAGAAGGGCTTAACCCTTTAATGATCAAATTGGACAACATATGAATGCTTGAGAAAATAAGTGTGGTGGATCATTTTCAATTTAGATTGGCTAAATTTGTCCTTGGCTTGGCTTTTAGTAAACAATTCAATCTCTTGGGATCTTATGAAGACAAAGGGGTAGGAAGGAATGGGACACCTATTGCTATTTACCATTCACTGGAATTAAACTGGCAGCATATATTATTTGACATGTCCAATGGGCAATTTTTTATTTCTATACTGACAGAGCTGATATCAACACACATATTCATATGGGCTACAGTTAAATCATATGGTATTATGTTTTGCAAATCTCAGGATTTGAAATAAAAATAATCTGAAAGTACATTAGAAAAACACAAGAGAAAATGCCTATTCCATCCATTACAATTAAAAAAAATTCTCAAATGTTTTTTTTAAATTAAGTTAATGTCTGCTTTATTTTTAACTTTGATATTTTGCTTTTAATTCTACCACCCTGCTGTCTCCAAAAAGGATTATTTTCTTCATCTATTAGGTATTTGAATGGTGCAAAATTAATCACTTAATATTTATAATGACTTTGAAATTGATTTACTTTGATTTCCTAAAAGGGGATATATATAAGCACACATGCCATTTACAGCTGGAAATACTGATTCTATTTTCTAAACAGATGATTATTTTTTTTTAAAAAAATGAAATGTCCAAGATACAAGATTTGTACTATTTAAGAAATATGTTCTTTATTGCTTATTTTGTCTGTTTCTCATTACTTAACATTTAACAAATGGCATGGACAATTAATCATGTTGCTTTTCTTATGGGCTTCATTGTGTATGTAAGAGTATTCAAGTTGCCTTTTGACTTATTTTAACTTCATAATTTTTTCAAAGATGTTCTTAGGCAAGAATACTCAAGAAATGGTTTTGCCAATTCCTTCCTCTGAAATATAAGCCCACAGAACACAGTATTCCTTGGCATCCTCCCACCCAAATACTAAGCAGGGCTGAGCCTGCTTAGCCTTCACAATCAGACAAAGGTCCAGTGAACTTCATTAGTCTTCCATCATTTAATGCTTTCTGCAGCCCACCCTGTACCAGCCAGCATAGCTGTAGGAAAAGCTTAACTACATAAACATGTGGTTGGAAAACTCTGTTTGGTGGTTTATATGGCAGTTTTTATCCAAAGCCACATAGCCTGGTCATGTGAGCAGACAGGTGAAGGAAAATTAACTAAAAAGAAAGAAGTTCGTGATGAAGGATAACATGATTGAGAATCAGACTACAAAAATACAACAGCCTACTTTATTGCTCCAACAAGTCTCTCAATAAGTATGTTAGTAAAATTTCATTGTATCCTCGTATTCTTGTACATTGTACCTTTTAATTTGGCAAGCATTTGAGATTTTATTCTTCTTAGCTGAGGTTCACTTTTATGATGATTTATTTGTCTTTAACTTTTGTATGCTGTTAAATTTTAATTATGCTAGCTTTAGCTTTCCAAACTGGGAAAAAAGCAATCAATCAATCAATCAATCAATCAATCAATCAATCAATCGACAACCACCCAACCAATCATGTATGATAGCTTGAGAAGCAGTGTGATTAAGTGGTTGGGCACTGTATTTTGTTGCAAGCTACCCTGAGATCACAGAACTGGTGTGGTGCAGTGGTCTGAATATCAGACTATTACTCTGAAGACCAGGACTCTAATTCCCACTCAGTTATAGAACCGACTATGTGAACTTGGGCAAGTCATACTCTCTCAGTCTCAGAGGAAGGCGATAGGCAAAACTCATTTGAAAAAGTCTTGCCATGAAAACCCCATGATAAGGCCACCAGACCTTCAAAATGGACTTGAAAGCACACAGCAACAGTAAGGGGCTGAGTGAAGTCTACCACATTCTCC